CTGCTAACCCCCTGGCATTCTCGAGCTATACATTTAAACCCCTCACTGGTCATTTGTCCAAGTTTCCACTTTTTGTAAGCTCCCTTTTTGTGCTTAAGTTCACCAAGGATTTTCCCTGTAAGCCAATCCGGTCTCCTACCAGGTTTGCTTCTCTTCCTATGCATCGGGATTGTTTCTTTCTGTACCTTAAATAAGGCTTCTTTAAAATACTGCCAGTTCTACTGGACTCCTTTCCCCTTCATGTTAGCATCCCAGAGGATTTTGCCCTTCAGAGGGAGTCTCTGAGGGAGTCAAAGTCTGCTTTTCTGATGTCCAATGTGTGTATTTTTCTACTCTCTTTTCTCCCTTTGGTCAGGATCCTGAAATCTATCATCTCATGATCACTGCTTCCAAGGTTGTCACACGCCTCTACTTCCCCTATCAGTTCCTCCCTGTTTGTGGGCAGAAGGTCAAGCTGCGCACGGCCCCTGGTCGGATCTTTCAACACATGTAACAAGGAGTTATCCCTAACATTCTCCAAAAACTTCCTGGATTGCATGTGTACTGCCGTATTGGTCTCTCAACAGATGTCAGGGTGATTAAAGTCCCCCACGAGAACCAGAGCCTGTGATCTGGAAGCTTTTCTCAGTTGTCTGAAGAAAGCTTCATCTATCTCATCCACCTGATTCAGTGGCCTGCAGTAGACACTAATCACAACATCACTACTGTTGGTTGCACCTCTAAACTTAACCCATAGACTCTCAACAGACTTTTCTCCCTCTATATACTGGAGTTCAGAGCAATCGTAGTGCTCTCTTACATATCGCGCAACTCCTCCTCTTTTTCTCCCCTGCCTGTTCTTCCTGAACAGTTTATACCCTTCCATGACAGTGCTCCAGTCATTTGAGTCATCCCACTAAGTCTCTGTTATCCCAATTAAATCATATTTCTTGGACTGGGCCAGGGCCTCCAATTCTTCCTGTTTGTTGCCCAGGCTTCTCACATTGGTGTACAAGCACCTCAGATAACCAGTTGATCGCCCTACGTTCCATTCGAATCGGGGTCCTCCTTTTTTGCTTGTTCCGCTTTGCATTTCTTCCCAGTATCTGACTTTCCCACTCACCTCAGGGTTTTGGTCACCTTCTCCCGACGATCCTAGTTTAAAGCCCTCCTCACTAGGTTTGCAAGCCTGCTCAAGATGATGCTCCTTCCTCTCTTTGTTAGGTGGATCCCATCTCTTCCTAACAATCTTTGTGCCCGGAACAGAGTCCCCTGGTTGAAGAAACCAAAGCCCTCTCTCCGACACCACCTATGCAACCACGCATTTATGTCCTCAATTCGACAATCCCTGCTCAGTCCTTTCCCTTCAACAGGGAGGATGGATGAGAACACCGCTAGTGCTCCGTATTCTTTGATCCTTCTTCCCAGTGCTACATAATCTGCAGTAACCCGCTCAAGGTCATTCTTGGCCATATCATTCATATCAATTGCTATAGCTGTGGCCCATTCTTGGTAGAAGGGTCTCAGGCAGTGATGGAAGATGACATTTGGATGTACTGGATCTATAGGGTGGTCACTCACCCTCCTCCCCCCAACCAAAACTTCAAATTTTTTGTTTGTGTGAAGTCGACTGGCCATTAGAAGACAGGTTCTGTTGAGTCCTCTTTCTGTTGGAACGTTGTTTGGGCCTGTTCTCGTATGGCCTCTGCTGTTGCCTGTAGTAGTTATAGTCTCTTGGTCTTTGGTAGTGAGTGTATTTGCATCTCTAGTTTGGTGGGGTGTACATCCCCACAGTGCAGAGTGTGGTACGTGAGTCCTTCATTGAGTGTAGGACTTCGTCTGTCTTTATAGCGAACAGCTGGTTTCTATCAAAGGGGAGGTCCTCCACTTTAGATTGTAATTCTTTGGGGGACTCATGATTGTAGCCATGAGACCCTATGCATTACAATTGCTGTAGCTGTGGCTCTGGCAGCAACATCCACTGCAGTCTGTAGGGCAGTTTTTGCTATGGATAGGCCCTCCTTGATAATGGACTGGAGGTGTGCCCTCATTCTCAGGAAGGTCATGTACCAGTTCCTTTATTCTAGTGTAGTTGGCATGATCATAGTTAGCCAGGAGGGATGTATAATTCAATATTCTAAATTGTAGGGTAGCAGAAGAATATACCTTGTGGCCAAAGATATCTAGCCACTTATGTTCCTTGTCTCGAGGTGTAGACTTACATTGTGGTTGTTTGGACTTGTGATTAACCGAGTCTACAACTAGTGAGTTCAGTTGGGGATGCGTGAAGAGGAAGTCCATGCCTTTTTCTGGGAAAAAGTATTTTCTATCCACCCTGTGATTTGTTGGAGGGGGATAGAGGCTAAGGTTTGCCAAAGTACCTCTGAAGGTTCCAAGATAGCTTCATTAATGGGTAAGGCTATCTTTGAGGATGCTGTGGGTTGTAGTATCATAAGTAATTTGTATTGTGTGTCTTGAACCTCTTGGAGTGTAATGTCCTGTGACTGAGCCACACATTTAAATAATTCTTGGAATTGTTTTAGGTCATCTGTTAGTGGAGAGGGTGATATCTGAAAAACTGCCTGGTCTGGTTTAATAGATCTCGGAGTGTGAAGAACTTGTGTAGCTGTGTGTTGTGGCAATGCTGATACTGTACCTCTTGGGTGGTAGGCATGGGTGGCTGTGCACATTAACATGAGAGGACAGAGGAGCGAGGTAAACAAGCTCCTGGTCTCAGAGGAGTACTTGGCTGTGGGGATTTTTGTAAACAAGAAGTCTTACATGATGCTTTCTTATGTTCTGCTGTTGGAGTGCGTTCGGGTTCAAATTGCCCAGGGACAGCTTGCTCGGGCATCATAGGGGTGCCTGTAGGTGCTGGCAATGGTGGCATATGCAGCTTTGTCAGTGCCGTTGCCTTAGTGTGGCACCAGCTTGAGCAGAGCGCTTAGGCTCTGACTCAGCTCCCCTGGCTGATGTAGTCTTGCGTTTCTCTGCGGTGCCAGAGACTGACAGCACTGGGGAATGGGAAGCTTGGGGCAACGCTAGTAACGAGCATGCTGGGGAAGCCCGCGAAACTTGTGAGCCTCTACATGGTGGTGAAAAGCAGCTCTGTCAACAGGCCTTTACTGTCCCCGTATCTTCTCAGACTTGTCCCCTAATGGTTTAGGAACTTCTCCTAGAGGAAGTTTTTTAGCCAAATTTTGCGGTCTTTTCTTTTCTGGCCCCAGCTGTCATATTTTGACAATGCAGGCACTTCTATGCTGCGTGAGTCTCTGAGACATTTAACACAGACGGCATGTCCGTCTGAAATAGGCACTGAGCCATGGCATGAGTCGCATTTCTTAAAGCCAGGAGAACTCGGCATGTTGAAAGAAAAGCCACGGGTTTGGGTTTTTTTTTTTTTTTCAGGTAAACATTGAAACTATCGTTAACTGACTAAACTATGAAGCATTACTGAACTAACTATGCTATTTGTTTTGTTTTCCTGTCAGAAAAGAAAAGCACTGCTCTGACTCCGTCTTCAGCTGAGGACAGAAGAAAAAGAACGGAGGGGGCCTCCGTCGCGCGCACACTCAAAGAACAGCAGGAGCGCAAGGCACGGAGTGCACAGACAAAGCACGAGGGTACACTGCTCACCAACAAATTCTTTGATCAGCAGTGCGAGGATGCACCAAGACCTGAGTGGAGCACTCACAGGGACACAGCTCGATGAAGAACCTGCCCACAGCACAGCATGGCCCCGCATCAAAGAATCCCCCTCACTCTTTTGCGGGGTTCCTGGACTCACTCCGGGACAGTCAGTCAGTGTTAGGTATGTGAACAGTAGGGATGTAAGCAACTAGTTGACTATCCAATAAGCAAAAGCTTATCAGATAGTCGACTAGTCCCTCAACTAGTTGCTTCCTCCCACCCTTGCTGCCTCCAGCAGCAGGGGGAACAGGAGCAGGTGCTGGGGGGAGCTGGCTTGAAAGCCTGCCAGCTCTTAATACATTTAAAAAGCAGAAGCACAGCAGTGGGGGAACTGGCACAAGTCGGGACATCTGATTCCTGGCTCATGCCAGGTCCCTCCTGCTGTGCTGTATGTTTTTAAAAGGCAGAGCTGCAGCAGGGATAAGCTCCCGGGGCGGGAGCTAACCCCACTGCAGCTCCCCTGCTTATCAACTAATTGATGGAAAATCCATTGACTAGTCGATTAGTTGATTAAACTAAATTTAAGATCCCTAATGAACAGTGCATGTATTTACAAGGTGTCGGGGCAGACAAAGTGTCTAGTGTTAAAAATGAGCCCTCTGTAACATGTTGCAGTTTTGCCTTGGCATGCCATCTGAACTGATATCCTCTGCAGAAAAGCTCTACAAGGCAAGAGTATGGCCCCAAGAGAGTCATGCTGCAGCTGAAAAAGAATTGAAGAAGTGAAGAGACAGCGAGAGGAGTGAGTAGAAGGAGTGCATGGAGCAGCTCTTAAACATTATGGAGTAACAAGTGGAAATGTTCCAGGTGCTGCTAGCACTTCAGACAGAGTAGTTGTGCTACTGTCTCCCACAGCTGATGCCACAATTTGGCCACCAACCTATCCCTGGATGGCATCCACTGCACTCCACATCTGAGCCCTCAGTCTCCAGTGGCTGAATACTAAAGAAGAATGCTTGCTGAGGTACTCGGGGATTGGGGTGAACCTAATGTTAATCTGCAAACCAGAGTGAGAGCTAGCAGAGTCCTGAGGAGGTTTACCACTAGAATGATCATCAAGGAATGATAGATTCTCCATAATTTGGAGTCTTTACACTGAAATAGGATGTCACTATCTAAAAATTCCCCTCTTGACTCAGCCAGAATCTACAAGGTCAATGAAGGAAAAGAACTGGATGAGATTCTCTGGCCTGTGCTATGCATAAGGTCAGGGTAGACAGTAATAATGGCTCCTTCAGACTGATCATATATGAATCTAAGCAAAGTGCCATTGGATTCCTAAGACAGAAAGAGGTGTCCTTTTCATGCAAGTCATCCACCAGACTGCTTACCTGAAGATGAAGCCGATCTCTATCCCGCTCTGACACCATGCTCTGTAGGACAGCCATTTCTTCCTTCAGAGTTCTACCAGCTGCTTTGCTCTGGGCCAGGCACAGAGACAAGGATTGTGCTTTCTCCCTCCATTCTATCTCCACACTCTCAGTCTGCTTCAGAACAGCCATCATATGCTCCAACTCTTGATCCATCACTTTCCTCTCCTCTTCCAGTTGATGGATCCTCACCTCCTGCCTTTCCAATTGTTGGTCTCTCTCCTGGAGAACCTTCCTCCTGGCTGCCTCCTCTGTTTCCAATCTTAAGAATTTTTGGGTTTGACTCTTTAGGATCTCCCCTTCACCAGCTCTCCTTTGGAGAGTTGAGGTGAGCTGCTCCAGAACCTCACTCTGTGTCCTCAGCTCCTGCTCTCTACCCCGCAGAGTCTCTTCCAGGTCTCTGACTCTCTTTCTCTGGTGTTTGATCTCCTCATCCTTTTTTATCAGTGTCTCTTGAAGATGCTGGAGATTTTCTTGAAGACCCTTCACCACCTCTTCTTCCAACTGTTTTTGCTCATCTTGGGCTCTGATCACCTGTTCCCTCCTGTTTATGGCTTTTTCTAGAAGATGCTTCCCCTCTTTGTGATGTCTCTCCTCCTTCTCTGCCAATGTAAGCTGGAGATGGTGCAGGGTCTCCTGCTCGTTGTCTTGGTGCTGGTGCCATTGAATAAGAGTCTCCATCTCCCGTTTTCGTTCTCTTACAACTTCCTCTAGACAAGTTGCTTGATTCTGGTAAGACTTTAGTGCCATCTGCATGCTTTCTTCTTGAAGCTGGTATATGCTAATTTGCTCTGCCTGCTTCAGGAGCTCTACATCCTTCCCCTTCACTATTTGGCTCATTCTGTCTAGATCCTGCTGTAAGCTCTTGACACACTTTTCTTCTAGCTCTTTCTGCCCTAAGAGCTCCTTGACATGCCTTTGCAAAGACTCTATCTCCTGGTAATGGGCTTGTAGACAAGATTTGGTATATTCAAGTGTCTTCAAGACAGCCTTAGTCTGTGTCACTGCATCTTCCTTGTGCTGCTGAAGCTTATGGATTCCCTCCTCAAGGGCTTCTATTTCCCTCTCTTTCTCCCTCGGAGTCACCTGTGTTTCTTGAAGATTTGCTTGCCTGTCTGTTGCCTGCTTCTCCTCCTCTGTCTTGTGCTCCTCATATTGCTTTTGTGGTGATTCAATTTCTTTCTCTCGTTCCCTTAACACTGCTTCAAGATAGTCAAGAGTTTTGACTTGTTGCTTAATTTCTCTTTCCTGCTTTTGGAGTGTCCAGATCTGTTCTTCCTGAGATTTAAGCACTCCATCTCTCTCCTTTAGTACTACCCTGGCATTTTCTAAATCTCTGTGTAAAACCTTTATCTGCCCTTCTGCTTCTTCCTTACGTTTCTGTATTTGCTGCGTTTGGAATTCCAGCTCTATGTCTTTTTCTTTTAAGGTTGTTTGTATTTGATCCTGATGTTCACAAAGAGCCTTTAGTTTCATTTCCATCTCTTCATTAATATCTTGAATTTGTTTTTGCTGTAACTCAAATTCTTGATTTCTCCGAGTCAGTGTGACGGCCATCTCTTTTACTTTCTCCCGCAGGTCTTGTAGCTCTCTCTCCCGCTGATCTTCATATTGCTGCAAAATCTTTATCTGCTCCTTCTGCGACTTGACCTCACTCTCTCTGTCCCCAAGAATTACTTTCATATGTTCAAGGCTTGTGCGCAGAACCTTCACCTGCTTCTTCTCCTGTTTCAATTCTTCAGCTACCTTCTTGTAAGACATAAGCTCACAATCTTTTTCCCTCAAGTCTGTTTTGATCTGATATAGATCCTCCTGCAGAGTTTTCATTTGTGATCTTTCATGTTCTTCAAGAGTCTGGATTTTCTCTTCCTGGAATTTAATTTCCTTGACTTTCTCCTCTAGGTTTAAAGTCAGTTGTTTTAGAGCAGTCTTCTGCATTTCCCTCTCATCTTCTAGTTTCTGAATTTGTTCTTGTTGGGATTCCACCTTTCTGTCTTTCTCCTCTATATCTTTAGAAAGATGATCTAGAGCTGTTCTTTGCATTTCTCTCTGCTGCTCTAGCTCTCTAATCTGTTCTTGCAGTACTTCCATTTCTCCATTTCTCTGGCTTAAGGTGATGGTCAGGCGATCCAGATTTTCCTGCAAAGCATTCCCAAATGCAGCCTCCTTCTGTAATATCAAGATTCCCTCCTGCTGTGTCTCTGCTTCCTCACTTTTCATTTTCAGGACAGAAAGGGTTGTTTGTAGCTCTTTTTCTAGGGAGTAGGTCATCTTTGCTGCTATGTTTGCCCGCGTTTCAGAGGCAGAGACTGTTTCCTGGAGAAGATCCATCTCTCGCATCAGTTTCTCCTGAACTGCTTGTAGCGTGTCCCGTTCATGCTGAAACAGAGAAAAAATGAATTAAAAATAAATCTAGGTAACTCTTCCCATCTCAGAACTGAGCTGTAGCTCTACTGCTTAGATGACGTGACAAGCAAGATCTGTAAGTGTGGCTCTTAACAGAATAACTCTTGTTGCTGGGGTGGCTTCTCTCTCCCATCTACTTTTTCTTTTGTCACTAGTGTAAACTCAAGAATTGCCCTCTCTCCTCTAGGACTTGTCCACACAAGGATGTAACACTGTTTCAGCAACTGATTTACTTGAGATGATGCTATATGTGCACACATGATCAAGCTGTGGTCACCAGATTCTGCTGAAATCATTGATGAAACAGCACTATTTTGGAGTGTAGAGGAGGCCTTCAAGTTGCTTCTGGCTATCGCTCATGAAGGGTTCCTGAAGTTACTTTCTTAAGTAAGCAGAGATAATTAGAAATGGGGAAAATATCCCAGAATCATAACTCAAACATACATGAATCAAGCAACTTCACCTAGTCTATATATTTTAGAGTGTCTATCTGCAAGTCCATTTATTCAATAATTCATCCTAAACAGTAAGAACTAGGACCACCATATTTGGTATGCAGATTCCTCTTCTTCTAACTTAAAACAAGGTCAGAGTCTGGTTGTGCAAGAACTACTGGAAACCCCAGGAAAGTGACTGTTTTCCATAACATGCAAAGGGAGAGGCTGCTGTTTAGAGAGACGCGATACTGAGAGTAGGCACTGGGGGTGAGCCAGCATGGGACAGCTTTCCTGCAGTGTTCAATGGAGAAAGCCGTATTACCAAGGGAGGGGCCAACAGGGCTCGGGCTCCATCATCTTGTCTGCCAGCACACCAGTTAGTAGCCCCTCACCCTGGCCTCAAACCATTTTCTCCCTTCCCAGTTCTTGTGCAGCACCGGCAGGATGGGAGGGGGAGGGGTTAGAGAAACCACCCCTGGCAGCCAGAGGGACAGGGGGGCAGACAAAACACCCTGGTGGCTGGAGGGACAAGGGAGCAGAGAAAATGGCCCTGACAGCCGGGGGGAATGGGGCAGAGAAAATGCTCCTGGTGGCCAGGGGAAGAGGGCAGAGAAAACCCCCCTGATGGCCGGAAGGAAGAAGGCAGAGAAACCTCTCCCCTGGTGGCTAGGGGGACAGGGGAAGAGAAAACCCTCCTGGCGGCCAGGGGGGAAGAGAAAACATTTCTGAGAGCTGGTGGAGATCTGGGGAATGGGGGGAAATGAGGGGGAAAGACAAAATGTTTCTGGTGGCGGTATGGGGAGTTGGGGGGGAAAGGCCTGTGGCAGCCAGGGGAGGGATTAGCAGGGGGAAGAGAAAAGGCTCATGCTGGATAGGACCCTCCATCCTGAGCTCCTCCTCGCCCCTCAACTTTCACACTCACATACCCACACCCCAGCCTCCTGCACTGCCTCCCCACACATCCCCAAGGCCCTACCATCACTTCTATTATAAAAGTTAACCTGAAAAATTGCTGCCAATATACAGTGGTAACATTGTAACATACGTATGGCTAATTCCCTCATTGACCTCTTTCCTCTTCTTCCTGCCTACTGTACCGTATTCACCTCCTTTCAACCTCTCTTCCTATGAAAGTTTATCCAGATCTCTAATCATTCTCATCACCTGTCCTGAACCAAGCATATAAGATGGGTTGACCAGAACTGTGCACTGTACAGAGTACGGCATGCTCTTAATTCAGAGAATGGCATTACAATTTTTAAAATATTCTTTTTGCATTGATCAATGTGGAATTTCATCTGCCATCATTTTGCCAATTTTTCTAACTTGATTAAACTAAGGATGTTAAATTTAGATTAATTAACTAATCGAATAGTTGATGGGATTTCCATCGACTATTCGATTAGTCTAGAAGGGTGCCTCTGCCTTTGAACTGTAGCAAGAAAACTGCTGGGCTCTTGCTACAGTTCAGAAGCAGAAGCCCCACAGGGAGCGTAAGGCCAGTGGAGAACTGGCCCTGCACTCCCTGCAGCACTTGAGTCTTTAAAATTTACAAGAGCCCCAGTGGGGCTCTTGCACATTTCAAAAGCAGAAGCACCACAGGGAGCACAGGACTAACGAGGGACTGGTCCCACACTCCCTGCAGTGCCTCAGCCTTTTAAATGTACAAGATTCCCAGTGGGGCTCTTGTACATTTCAAAAGGAAGCTACGCAGGTAGCGTGGGGCAGGGAGTGCAGGGCCTGCGGGGCTTCTGCTTTTGAAATGTACAAGAGCTCAACTGGGGCTGGAGCAGAATCCCAGGAGAAACAGCCCTAGTGAAGACTGATTTAGTCCACACACAAGCCGTTTCCCGTTGTGGCTCTACTTTCCCTGACCCCTGCGGAGATGGTGCTGGGGGAACTACCTTTTAACCTGGCTCCCCCAGTACCAACTCCTGCTCCCCCACCTTGCTGCCTCTGATAGAGTCAGTAAGAGGGGGGGACTGACTAGTTGAGTCACTACTAGACTATCTGATAAGCTTATGCTTATCAGGTAGTCGACTATAGATCCTTCAGAAGTCTGTATTCTCAGCATTCATTAGTCTTAATAATTTTGTGTTATTTGAGCATTTGGCTGCCTCAATACTTATACTTTTTCCAGATGACTTGTATATTAAACAACACTGTCCCTAACACAGAGCCCTGGGCCAGCCAACTGTTAACCATTTTTCAACTATGAAAGTGAACCAAGCATTCCTTCTCTTTGTTTTCTGCCTCTAAAGCTCCAATGATCTCAGTAAGATACTTCAGAAAAAGCATGTGTAAGTCTTTGCTGAGTTGGTACCTTAATCAGATGCTGATCCATAACATACCATTTCCTTAAAAGCCCTTTCTGAATGACACTGTTGAAGACTTTGAAAGTCCAATAAATTATTTAAACCTATTCCCTGTTACCCATTACTTTAATGACAGAATTCTAATAGGTTAATGAAGCACAGTTTTCCTTGGCAGAAGCTATGCTACTTAAACATTATGACAGGCTTTTAGATTCCTGAGCTCCTATTGTTGCTCGTACTTATATGTACCATGGCTACAGCCTACTCCCCAGAACACTTGGGATGTCTGTCCAGAGTTGCACAATATCAGCCAACGGGTTCTCATAGTCACCCCTTGCCCAGCTATTGATATTTATAGTGAACAAACCAACCTTTCTTTCCCAACTGTAACCCCTTCTTCCTTAGATCACACTCCTCTGTATGTGAAGATTATCAGTGGCTCATGAAAATCCCAAGCCATGAACAGTAAAAGTATGTGTGGACGGACATGAAGTGCACTTGAAGAACTCTGAGGGTGGAAATCAGTCTGGAATAGTGACACTACAGTGGGTCAGCAGCCAGGTGATGCAGGTGGAAAGCATAATTGGATAGCGGGGAATGACAGAGGGCCAGGTGGAAAGCCTAGGATTGGATAGCAGGGGATGACAGAGGGCCAGGCGGAAAGCCTAGGATTGGATAGCAGGGGATGACAGAGGGCCAGGTGGAAAGCCTAGGATTGGATAGCAGGGGATGACAGAGGGCCAGGTGGAAAGCCTAGGATTGGATAGCAGGGGTGACAGAGGGGCCAGGTGGAAAGCCTAGGATTGGATAGCAGGGGATGACAGAGGGCCAGGCGGAAAGCCTAGGATTGGATAGCAGGGGATGACAGAGGGCCAGGTGGAAAGCCTAGGATTGGATAGGAGGGGGTGACAGCGGGCGAGGTGGAAAGCCTAGGATTGGATAGGAGGGGGTGACAGCGGGCGAGGTGGAAAGCCTAGGATTGGATAGGAGGGGGTGACAGCGGGCGAGGTGGAAAGCCTAGGATTGGATAGGAGGGGGTGACAGCGGGCGAGGTGGAAAGCCTAGGATTGGATAGGAGGGGGTGACAGCGGGCGAGGTGGAAAGCCTAGGATTGGATAGGAGGGGGTGACAGCGGGCGAGGTGGAAAGCCTAGGATTGGATAGGAGGGGGTGACAGCGGGCGAGGTGGAAAGCCTAGGATTGGATAGGAGGGGGTGACAGCGGGCGAGGTGGAAAGCCTAGGATTGGATAGGAGGGGGTGACAGCGGGCGAGGTGGAAAGCCTAGGATTGGATAGGAGGGGGTGACAGCGGGCGAGGTGGAAAGCCTAGGATTGGATAGGAGGGGGTGACAGCGGGCGAGGTGGAAAGCCTAGGATTGGATAGGAGGGGGTGACAGCGGGCGAGGTGGAAAGCCTAGGATTGGATAGGAGGGGGTGACAGCGGGCGAGGTGGAAAGCCTAGGATTGGATAGGAGGGGGTGACAGCGGGCGAGGTGGAAAGCCTAGGATTGGATAGGAGGGGGTGACAGCGGGCGAGGTGGAAAGCCTAGGATTGGATAGGAGGGGGTGACAGCGGGCGAGGTGGAAAGCCTAGGATTGGATAGGAGGGGGTGACAGCGGGCGAGGTGGAAAGCCTAGGATTGGATAGGAGGGGGTGACAGCGGGCGAGGTGGAAAGCCTAGGATTGGATAGGAGGGGGTGACAGCGGGCGAGGTGGAAAGCCTAGGATTGGATAGGAGGGGGTGACAGCGGGCGAGGTGGAAAGCCTAGGATTGGATAGGAGGGGGTGACAGCGGGCGAGGTGGAAAGCCTAGGATTGGATAGGAGGGGGTGACAGCGGGCGAGGTGGAAAGCCTAGGATTGGATAGGAGGGGGTGACAGCGGGCGAGGTGGAAAGCCTAGGATTGGATAGGAGGGGGTGACAGCGGGCGAGGTGGAAAGCCTAGGATTGGATAGGAGGGGGTGACAGCGGGCGAGGTGGAAAGCCTAGGATTGGATAGGAGGGGGTGACAGCGGGCGAGGTGGAAAGCCTAGGATTGGATAGGAGGGGGTGACAGCGGGCGAGGTGGAAAGCCTAGGATTGGATAGGAGGGGGTGACAGCGGGCGAGGTGGAAAGCCTAGGATTGGATAGGAGGGGGTGACAGCGGGCGAGGTGGAAAGCCTAGGATTGGATAGGAGGGGGTGACAGCGGGCGAGGTGGAAAGCCTAGGATTGGATAGGAGGGGGTGACAGCGGGCGAGGTGGAAAGCCTAGGATTGGATAGGAGGGGGTGACAGCGGGCGAGGTGGAAAGCCTAGGATTGGATAGGAGGGGGTGACAGCGGGCGAGGTGGAAAGCCTAGGATTGGATAGGAGGGGGTGACAGCGGGCGAGGTGGAAAGCCTAGGATTGGATAGGAGGGGGTGACAGCGGGCGAGGTGGAAAGCCTAGGATTGGATAGGAGGGGGTGACAGCGGGCGAGGTGGAAAGCCTAGGATTGGATAGGAGGGGGTGACAGCGGGCGAGGTGGAAAGCCTAGGATTGGATAGGAGGGGGTGACAGCGGGCGAGGTGGAAAGCCTAGGATTGGATAGCAGGGGATGACAGAGGAGCTGCAGGAGAGAAAGGGAAACTTACTCAATGTCTGCACACTTTACCTCATTACACATGCTTTGCTGGTAGCACTAGAAATTAGAGGGTAGCCATGGGAGATGACAGGGAGTTTCTATCTAGTGGCTCTGGGGTCAGGGCAGAGTTGTTCCCGAGAATGCAATGTTAAAAGTGCTCCATCCAGACTCTTTGAAAGGACATTATCTAACAAAGCTTCAAAACCATATGCCAGCCTCACCACAACATCCCTTCTATGCTTCTCGGTGCTCTCACGGCTTCGCTCCAAGGATGCAACCTCTCCACGCAACATCACTACCTCCTTCTTTAGGGCAATGACTTCTTCTTGCAGCGTGGCCTGGAGTGAGCCCTGCTTCCCTTCTGCCATCTGCATCTCTGCAATAAGGAGGAGGGGGAGGAGAAGAATCAAAACAAAAGGGAACAATGCTAGACAAGAGCCATGGTCTTTCCATTCAATTGTCTTCTGCTTTCCAGGCTCCAGGCCACAAAGCAAAGATTGGATTATGCCCAAAGACATCTCTTTGTCTGAGGTATTTGGCTTAAGGAAGTTCATGTGTAAGCAGAATTCACAGGCACAGGGAATGAACAAGGAGCAGTCAATAAAAGTATATCAACAGTGAGGCAGGTTAGCATCATCAGTATAACAGTGAGAGCTGTGGTAGATAAGATTACAAAAAGAAAATACTGAGGAAGGAAAAAAATGGCATAGGGCTCCAACCAAGGACAAAGGAGCTGCTACCACAAAGGAGGGAGCAATAAGTTTGCAAAAGGATTCTGTAGAATCAGAAAGAGTTCCTAGATGAGCAACAAGTGGCTCTCCCATAGAGACTGAAAAAACTAGAACTGTTCAAGTAGGCCTAAAGGACATGATAGAAGCCTATAAAGTACTGACTGGTATAAGGCAGGAGGATGTGGCACTTTTGTTCTCTCTTCATTACACAGAGGACAAGCCATTAAATTGAAAGGCAGCCAGTTCCAAGTGTTTGGTGGATATGATTGGTGCCATGAGAGATGGGGAAGTAAAGATGCCTTAACAGCTGTGGTATGCTGGGGTCCATAATACTGGAGGTCACAGGAAGTGAGAGAGGGTATGTCTACACTACAAAGTTAGTTCGAACTAACAGACGTTAGTTCGAACTAACTTTCATAGGCTACACTAGCGCTCCGTTAGTTCGAATTAAATTCGAACTACCGGGGCGCTAGTGTAGCCTATGAAAGTTAGTTCGAACTAACGTCTGTTAGTTCGAACTAACGTCTGTTAGTTCGAACTAACGTCTGTTAGTTCGAACTAACGTCTGTTAGTTCGAACTAACGTCTGTTAGTTCGAACTAACGTCTGTTAGTTCGAACTAACGTCTGTTAGTTCGAACTAACGTCTGTTAGTTCGAACTAACGTCTGTTAGTTCGAACTAACGTCTGTTAGTTCGAACTAACGTCTGTTAGTTCGAACTAACGTCTGTTAGTTCGAACTAACGTCTGTTAGTTCGAACTAACGTCTGTTAGTTCGAACTAACGTCTGTTAGTTCGAACTAACGTCTGTTAGTTCGAACTAACGTCTGTTAGTTCGAACTAACGTCTGTTAGTTCGAACTAACGTCTGTTAGTTCGAACTAACGTCTGTTAGTTCGAACTAACGTCTGTTAGTTCGAACTAACGTCTGTTAGTTCGAACTAACGTCTGTTAGTTCGAACTAACGTCTGTTAGTTCGAACTAACGTCTGTTAGTTCGAACTAACGTCTGTTAGTTCGAACTAACGTCTGTTAGTTCGAACTAACGTCTGTTAGTTCGAACTAACGTCTGTTAGTTCGAACTAACGTCTGTTAGTTCGAACTAACGTCTGTTAGTTCGAACTAACGTCTGTTAGTTCGAACTAACGTCTGTTAGTTCGAACTAACGTCTGTTAGTTCGAACTAACGTCTGTTAGTTCGAACTAACGTCTGTTAGTTCGAACTAACGTCTGTTAGTTCGAACTAACGTCTGTTAGTTCGAACTAACGTCTGTTAGTTCGAACTAACGTCTGTTAGTTCGAACTAACGTCTGTTAGTTCGAACTAACGTCTGTTAGTTCGAACTAACGTCTGTTAGTTCGAACTAACGTCTGTTAGTTCGAACTAACGTCTGTTAGTTCGAACTAACGTCTGTTAGTTCGAACTAACGTCTGTTAGTTCGAACTAACGTCTGTTAGTTCGAACTAACGTCTGTTAGTTCGAACTAACGTCTGTTAGTTCGAACTAACGTCTGTTAGTTCGAACTAACGTCTGTTAGTTCGAACTAACGTCTGTTAGTTCGAACTAACGTCTGTTAGTTCGAACTAACGTCTGTTAGTTCGAACTAACGTCTGTTAGTTCGAACTAACGTCTGTTAGTTCGAACTAACGTCTGTTAGTTCGAACTAACGTCTGTTAGTTCGAACTAACGTCTGTTAGTTCGAACTAACGTCTGTTAGTTCGAACTAACGTCTGTTAGTTCGAACTAACGTCTGTTAGTTCGAACTAACGTCTGTTAGTTCGAACTAACGTCTGTTAGTTCGAACTAACGTCTGTTAGTTCGAACTAACGTCTGTTAGTTCGAACTAACGTCTGTTAGTTCGAACTAACGTCTGTTAGTTCGAACTAACGTCTGTTAGTTCGAACTAACGTCTGTTAGTTCGAACTAACGTCTGTTAGTTCGAACTAACGTCTGTTAGTTCGAACTAACGTCTGTTAGTTCGAACTAACGTCTGTTAGTTCGAACTAACGTCTGTTAGTTCGAACTAACGTCTGTTAGTTCGAACTAACGTCTGTTAGTTCGAACTAACGTCTGTTAGTTCGAACTAACGTCTGTTAGTTCGAACTAACGTCTGTTAGTTCGAACTAACTTTCATAGGCTACACTAGCGCTCCGTTAGTTCGAATTAACTAATAAGTTAGTTCAAATTAACGTTGTAGTGTAGACGTACCCTGAGAGAGAAAGGATAACTAACTACATGCAGGGAGTAGTTACTGTGCTATAGCCTAGGGCAAGACCCAGAGTGAGATCTGTTTGAGGGGCTATTGTATGTGAGAAGTGACTGGGGAGATGAGAGACAGTGTCTCTGTGAAGCATTTTACTGAGGGTGGGAAGTTCAGACACATCCTGTGCTCAGAGATTATGTTAGAGCCAGGTAGGAAGGGGCAAGTTGAGAAGGAAGCAGATGCAGCAGATTGTAGAAAACTGGGGTGGGAAGCACAACTGCAATAATGTAAGAATCCTAGGGAAGAAGACAGAGATAGTGCACTGGAATGTGGAGGAGATGGCTTCGTGACTCAGGAAGGCCCCAGGTTAGCAAAGGGCAGGAGGAGAGGATTCCTCAGGTACTACAAGGAGCACCATAGGGAATCAGCGCTGTCTCCTCTACTCAGGAGAGCTAGTCTGTGGATTCTCCTGGTGACCCTTCCTTTTCTCCAACTGCTGAGGAAGCCTGGTACAGTAGGAAGGAGGGTAGACATACCTTCCTGGTTTTGGACCAACCACTTCTGCAACTCTTGGTTGCGGGCACTGAGACAGTCCCTCTCAGCCGCCTCTTTCCTCAGCTCCTGCTCAAGCTTCTGAACCTTGTTCCTGGCATCATCCTGGAAAAAGCAGAAGCTAAATGAAGCAGCATATGCCCAGTGCCAGGAAAGCGGATGGGTGTATGTGGAGGAACCTAAGGCGTAGACAGGAAGGGCAGGGCCAGAACCAAGAGCAGTAGTGAATGAGGGGGTATTCTCTTCTACCCAGGATGGAATAGTCTAGGTTGCACTGGCACAAGGAACGAGAGCCAGCTTGGCCAAAGTATTATTGGCCACCTTATTTTGCTGCTTACTCTCAGCAGAGGGACAGGAGTAGTGAATCCAATGAGGAGAGAAATTACCCGATCCTGCAGAGTCTGTTTCAGGTGCTGGTGTAGGTCCCGGAGGGCTGTTGCCACTTCCTCTGCTGTGAGCTCTGTGAGGAGGGCCTTAGGCTCAGGGCCAGTCAGCCCACAAACTGGATCCTGGTCTGGAAAAACAAGCCCTGGGGATCAGTGTTTTGCCAATGGTCACCAACTTTCAGGAGAAGTTTGCAGCATTTGGAGACCGCCCAGAGACAGGTACCATAAATGTGACAGTGAATAAGTGACACACTGAACAGTAAATGTCACACCAGATGTGGTATCCTCCAATAGCTGCAGGGGCTGAGGTCACGTCCCCTACTGCCCTAGTTCTCTCTGCAGTGAGCTTTGTGGGGTTTAGGCCTGCCCTCTGGGCCCCAAGCGGCTTTAGAGCCAAAGGCTGCCCCATGCTTGCCAACAACCCCATGTTTCTGCTCTGTGCCCCACATTCCTATTTGTTCCAGAAAATGGGGCTGAAATATAGCTTGGTTGAAGATCTCATATAGACCCTAGATGCAGTTGCCAGTCATGCATCTAGCCCTGCTGCCTTTTCTTTCACTCAGAAGTGCTCTGCAACACTAAGCTAGAGAGATAGTTCCCTCCCACAGCACCAACTCCTCTCAGGAAGTGGCAACGTGTAGAGGGAGAGGGGATGGCAGAGACCCCTCCTGAAGGCCCCAGAAAGGGAGGGAGAAATGGCCCTGGAGAAAAACAGGGGAGGTGAATAAAGCACATGATGCAAGCCCATAGATCTAATGAACCTTCCCCTAAAAGGGCATGAGGGTGGGGGAGAGAAACAGGCCACAGGGTTCCCCTCCCAGAAAACACCTGTGATGAAATGAAATATCTTTACAAAATGCATGTAACCCCTCTGTCAACATACCAAAAACAGGTACCAAGCCTGGGTGGGAGAAAGCCAAGTGGGTAGAACCATTTGGGGATGCTCCAAAGTTTCTCAAAGCTGAGAAAATTGCCCCCAAGTCTTCTGCTCCTACTCCTTCTGCTCCTAATCCTGGCTCCTTACTGGCAGGTGTTTTCTGGTAGGGGAGACCTGTGGCATGCAAAATTATCTGGGAGCTTCTTGAAACAATTGTCCCTTTGGACATTTCTACGTATTGGTAACCATGTCCTGTGGGACTCCATGCAATCAGCAGCACAGGTGGTCTGATGACTAGCCCTGGACTCTCTTCTGGCTTGCAGTGCCTCCTGCTTCTTGCACAGTACCCCATAATATGTATAAACTCATTCTCCATGGTGTCTGCTATTGAGGCCAGCCACTTAAGATCTGGAGCCCCTGAACGTCTCACACCAACCCTAGCACCATCTCATTCAGCAGTTTCAGAAGAAGTGGAAGGAGAATTTGAAATGCACATACTGTCTGTCTAGAATAGAGGGCCAACATGTCTGTGTCAAAGACTGAGGTTAAATGCAAGAGGAGGAAATTACTCACCTCTGCAGGAATCAATGTTCTTGGAGCTGAGTGTTCCGGTGAGTGCTCTACTCCAGGTGCTGATGCATCTCTGTGCCTTTGCACAGAGATTTCCACAGTAGTACTTATACCAGCCGCATACATACACAGTGTCTGCTGCTTGTACCAGCTCTGTCTCAACAGCAGGTGTGCAAAAACAGTTTTCCCTCCACAACAGAGGCTGCCTCAGCCCCGAAGTAGAGAGGAGAAAGGTGGTTAGTGGAGCACCCACAGGGACACATGTCTCAAAGAACATCACTTACTTCAGTCTCAGAGAGGTAGCCATCTTAGTCTGTAATTAAAATACAATACAATAAAAAAACAACAGTGGTCCTGTAGCACCTTAAAGGCTAACCAAAAATTTACACTAATTTACACTAACACCCCTCCTAATCTTCGACCAGGAACTTTCTATCTGCTATCCAAAATACACAACCTGGAAATCCCACACAATCCATCATCTCAAGCATTGGCACACTTACTACAGGATTATCTGGCTATACTGACTCCCACTACAGACCCTATGCTACCATCATTCCCAGCTACCTCCATGACACCAATGACTTCCTGAGGAAACTTCAAAATATCAGTAATTACCTGAAAATGCCATCCTGGCCACTATGGACGTAGAAGCCCTTTACACTAACATTCCACATGAAGACGGATTACAAGCCATCAAGAACACCATCCCAAATAACAGCATTGCACACCTGATTACAGAGCTCTGCGACTTTGTCCTCACCCACAACCACTTCCAATTCGGAGACAATCTGTATCTCCAAGTCAGCAGCACAGCCATGGGCACCCGCATGACACCACGATATGGCTGACCTTGAACAAAGTTTCTCTCGCCCCCTAACATCCGTACTTTACTTGTGCTACATTGATGATATCTTCATCATATGGACCACTGGAAAATAAACTCCTGAAGAATTTCACAAGGATTTCAACAACTTCCACCCCACCATCAGACTCAGCCTGGACCAGTCCACATGAAAAATCTACCTCCTGGATACTACAGTACAATTAAATAATGGACAGATTGCCACCACTCTATACCAGAAGCCCACCGACCGCTACACTTACCTTCATGCCTCCAGCTTCCATCCCAGACACATTTCTCACTATTGTATATAGCCAAGCCCTAAGATACAACCAGATTTGCTCCGATCTCACAGACAGAGACAAACACCTACAGGATCTTAATAGAGCATTCCTAAAACTGAAACACCCACCTGGAGAAGTGAAAAAACAGATTAACAGAGCCAAAAAAGTACCCAGACATGAACTACTTCAAGACAGATCCAAAAGGGAGAATAACAGAATCCCACTTGTTTTCACCTACAGACTCAACCCCCTCCAATGCATTAAACACAATCTGCAACGCATCTTGGAAAATGATCCCTCACTCTTAGAGACCTTTGGGGAAAAGCCCATTCTCGCTTACAGACAACTCCACAACCTGAAACGAATTCTTTCCGGTAACCATGCTACACAACCACATCATAGGCATCCAGGAACCCAGCCCTGCAATCAGCCACGGTGCCTACTCTGCCCACATATCTACACAAGCGAATTCATCACTGGAGCCAACAACATAAGCTACCAAATCAGAGGATCATAAAACTGCACATCCAGCAATTTGATCCATGCCATTAAATGCCAACAATGCCCCACTGCTATATATATTGGAGAAATTGTACAGTGATTATGGGAAAGAATCAATGGACACAAATCAAATATACATAAAGGGAACATATAAAAACCTGTTGGGGAACACTTCAATATGAATAATCACTCTTTAAAAGATCTCCAGGTGGCTGTCTTATCACAAACCAATTCTACAAGTCAAATAAACAGAGAGGTGTTAGAATTACAATTCATCCACAAATTCAATTCTCATGCTAATGGCCTCAATCCAGATAAGGGATGGCTGGGACATTATGAACCTAACATTTAATGAAGGTGCAAAAAGCTCTTTGTGTGGATTCTTGCTATTGCTATCCTTTGATTCTTATCAGCTTCTTTTCAACTATCCAATCTTCAGGTATTTATAAATGCCAGTTCTGCCTATTTGTTTTGCCCTTTGATATTTTCATACCCTCTGCTCCTTGTTTCTCGCCCCCTTCTTTTTTCTCCTTCCCCGCTTTCCCTTCTTCCCTATTTATTTTGGGTCTGCACATTCTAAACTCAGAACTCTAGTCATCTGAAGAAGTGGGCTGTACCCACAAAAGCTCGTGATACCATTTATATGTTTTGTTAGTCTATAAAGTGCTATGAGACCATTTGTTTTTGTGGGGGGGGGGATTGTTTTTGTGGGGTGGTTTTTTTGTGTGTGTGTAATTTACAAAAAACATATAGATAGTATCATGAGCTTTCGAGAGCACAACCCACTTCTTCAGACATCTGAGCTCCAGGTGACTGAAAAGCAGTGTCTTTCAAGGCATTTGGGACTTTGGATCTGATAGGAATGTAGTGGACAAAAGCTCTGCCCATAGCATATTGGTAAGGGGTCCTTGGGTAAGAGTACAGAATTTTGCAAAAGTGTATTCAGAAACCTAAGTGGCAGCCTTTCAAATACCCATGAAGGGAACATTATGTAGAAAAGCCAGCAAGGCTGCAATACATCTAGTAGAGTGACCCCTGACAGAAGTTGGAAGAGTTGTGTTCTGCAACTGATAACAGAGGCAAGAAGTAGCTGAGAAGTGGGATATGAGTCAACAATGTGTCCTTGTAGCCAAGAAGGCTAAGGGCATATTGGCCTGCATTTGTAGAAGCACTGCCACATTGAGGGAAGTGATTATTTCCCTTTATTTGGCACTGGTGAGGCTATATCTGGAGTACTGTGTCCAATTCTACTTATGAGGAGAGGCTGAAGGACCTGAACTTATTTAATCACAGAAGAGAAGAACGAGGGGGGAATTTGATAGCAGCCTTCAACTACTTGAAGGGGGGTTCCAAAGAGGATGGAGAGAGGCTGTTCTGATATGACAGAATGAGGAACACTGGTATCAAGTTGCAGTCGGGGAGGTCTAAGTTGGATACTAGAAAAAGCTATTTCACAATGGGCTTGGTAAAGCACTGGAATGGGTCACCTAGGGTGGTGCTGAAATCTCCATCCATAAAGGTTTTTAAGTCCCAGATTGACAAAGCCCTGGCTGGAATGATCTAGTTGGGATTGGCCCTGCTTTTAACAGGGGATTGGACTCAGTGACCTCCTGGGACTCTTCCAATCCTAATCCTCTATGATTTTATAAAAAGGGCAACTGTAGTGCCTATCTTTAAAAAAGAAAAGAAGGAGAATATGGGGAACTACAAATTGCTCAGCCTCATCTCAGTCCCCGGAAAAATCATACAGCAGGTCTTGAAGGAAAGTGATCAGGAACAGGCGTGCCTGACAAACCTAATTGCCTTCTATGATGAGATAAGTGGCTTGTAGATATGGGGAAACCAATGGACAAGGTATATAAATATAGTCTCCCACAGTATTCTTGCCAGCAAGTTAAAGTAGTATGGCTTGGATGAATATACTGTAAGGTTGATAGAAAGATGGCTGAATCATCAAGCTCAGTGAGTTGTGATCAACAGCTAGATGTCAAGTTGGTAGCCAGTATCAAGCAGAGTTCCCTGCGGGTCAGTCCTGGGGCAAGTTTTCTTCAACATCTTCATTAATGATCCGGACAGACTGCATCCTCATCAAGTTCGTGGATCACACTAAGCTGGGGGGACAGGTACATACACTAGAGGGTAGGGATAAAATAGAGTGACCTAGACAAATTGAAGGGTTGGGACAAAAGAAATCTGATGAGGTTCAACAAGGACAAGTACAGAGTCCTGCACTTAGGATGGAAGAATCCCAAGCACTGCCACAGGCTGGGACCAACTGGCTAAGCAGCAGTTTGGTAGGAAAGGACCCGGGGATTACAGTGGATGAGAAGCTGGATACGGGTTAACAGTGTGCCTTTGTTGCCAAAACTAACCACATATTGGGCTGCATTAGTAGAAGCGTTGCCAGCAGACCGAGGGAAATAATTATTCCTCTCTATTCAGCACTGGTGTGACCACATCTGGAGTACTGTGTCCTGTTTTGGGCCCGCCGCTACAGAAGGGTGTGGACAAATTGGAGAGCTACAAAAATGATCAGGGGTCTGGGACATATGGCTTATGAGGAAAGGCTGAGGGAACTGGGCTTATTGTCTGCAGAAGAGAAGAGTGAGTGGGGGGCAGAGGGAGCAGATATGATAACAGCCTTCAACTACCTGAAGGGGGAGGTTATAAAAAGGATGGAGCTAGTCTGTTCTCAGTAGTGGCAGATGACAAAACAAGAAGCAATGGTCTCAAATTATCACTAAGTTGGATATTAAGAGTAAGTATTTCACTAGGAGGGCGGTGAAGCAATGCAGTGGGTTGCCAGGGTGGTGATGGAATTTCCATCCTTAGAGGTTTTAAAGGACAAGCTTTACAAAACCCTGTCTGGAATCATCTGAAGAAGTGGGCTGTGCTCATGAACGCTCATGATACCATCTACATGTTTTGTTAGTCTTTAAAGTGCTATTATACTATTTGTTGTTAATGAAATCATTTAGTTAGGCTCACAACACTGCTAGTACAGGTTAAAGGCAATGGGGCTGTGTTTTGATGAAAAGCCTGCACCTGGGTGAGAGGCAGGTCCAAGGAACTTCTGCATTACAAGCAGTTTAAGCTGGAGCTCTCTGTCCTTGGCTATGTCTAGACTGCAGGCTTCTTTCGAAAGAGGCTCTTTCGAAAGCATCTTTCGAAAGAGCATCTTTCGAAAGATCGCGTCTAGACTGCAGGCGGATCTTTCGAAAGAGAAATCCGCTTTTTCGAAAGAGAGCACCCAGCGAGTCTGGATGCTCTCTTTCGAAGACGGCCTCTTTACATTGAAGAACGCCTTCCTTCGAAAGAGGAACTTTCGAAGGAAGGCATTCTTCCTCGTGAAACGAGGTTTACCGCCATCGAAAGAAAAGCTGCATTCTTTCGAAATAATTTCGAAAGAACGCGGCTTGAGTCTGGACGCAGGGGAAGTTTTTTCGGGAAAAGGCTACTTTTCCCGAAAAAACCCCTGAGTCTGGACAAGGCCCTTGTGTGCCCGCCCTGGCTTTTAACGATGCAATGGGTACATTTTTGGGGGATGTGGGACTCCCCCAAACATTTAATATATTGTGAGTGACAATCCAATATTGGGATAGCATGCATGCATGTAGTGCAGACCTTAAAACCTGGGGAACCAGGCATAATAAGCATTGTTGGCTAGATGACAAGTAAAACGGGAAAGAAGAAAAACCATTTGTGAGTTTGATGGATTTAAAAAAAAAAAAAAAGGGGGGGATAGAACTTACCTAACTAAGGAGAGGGTAAAAACTAAGGGAAAAACTTACCTAAAATGGATGAAGACAAAAGTGTCTCAGACCAGTCTACTAAGCTCTGTCTCAGGCTGGAGATAGTAGAAAAGGAACGGCGGTGCTATTAAAATATAACAGACGGCTCTGGTGTGCCAGACTAGTACAAGTACTGCTGTAGAGATCTCTAAGTGAAGGCACAGGAGTGCTCTGATACCTGGATTGAGCATCCACAGGAACATTTCTCGAAAAAGAATAAAGTCTGTTCCTAGACTTCCCCAACCAGAGCAAGGGAACTGAGAAACAACATGGGCCAGGAAAACAGACTGGGAGTGGAATGCTAAGCTGTAAAGCCTTCTCAGCCTAGGGACAAATCTACGTGGCTTCTGAAGAAAAGCCTCCAACACACGCAGTCAAACACCAGCCACTCACCTGCACACCATGTGACAAGGTCTCCACTTGCCAGAGTGCTGCCACGCAGTGCGTGCTGTAGAACAGTGTACAACCTGACCAGCTGGGACTCTGCTTCACAGCGGGCACAGCTGGCAAGGCGGTACTCCACAGCCAGTGCCTCTGCACGGCTCTCTGTGCTGCAAAGTCTAAGGTGCAGCTGAGACACCTCAGTCTCTAGCGTCTGCAGCAAATTCCTCAAATGCCGCTCGCCTGCCCGTGATTCCTCCAGATCTTGCGACAACTGCTTCTCGAGGGCCAGTAAGCCAGCCTCTTTCTCTAGCAGAGCTTGCCTGAGTGTGAGGACCTGCAGCAAAGAGAAACACAGACTCTTGGAAGCTCAGAATGACTACTCTTCCTATAACCAAAACCAATGAGAGCAGAGGTGAGGCTGGAAATAAGCACTGGAATCTTCAGGAGCAAAGAGCTTGCCACCCACAGGAAAATGCCAATTACTGTTCCCGCCGCACCATCAGAAAGAAACACCAAGGGTGAAAGAGGCTCCTGAGGGGGAGCCAGTTATGCCACAGTGTAGAGACACTACCCAGTAAAAACAGGCAGGAAGAGAGAGAGAAGTTAGTGCTTTGTAGGGCTAGGCACAGCCACCTGGACTCAGTAGTTGCATTAGAGGCACTGAGATGTGCTAGAAGAATCTAATCTTCTTCTCTTAGGGCTCAGGGTCTGCTAATGGGGCATGTGACATAGGGAGGACAGAGCAGATCCAGGCTTTGACACCACAGCTACAGGGCTGCGAGCAGGTGAAGGGAGAGGAGACAGTGGGAAAGAGACCACTGTGCACTCTGTGGGAGGTGGGCAGAGAGAGGCTGGCCCTGGGAAAGCCTGATGTGTGGATGCAGAAGGGAATACCTGGGTGTTGAGCTCCTGAATCTCTCCCCTGTGCTCAGAATGAAGCTGCTGAGCCTGGCGAATGGCTGCACGCAGGCTGATGATCTCACTCTCTTGAGCAATGTCTCTCTCTTGGAGGGTCCTAAGTTTCAGCTCCTTTTCCTTCAGGGCTAAAGACAGGCTGAAAAGAAAAGAGGTTCCATGATCCTGGCAGCTCAGTGCCTGGAGTGAGGAGAGGTGACATGCTGATAGTAATGTGATGTGGAGGAGGGGGGGACCTCTGTGATAAAGGTGGGGAAACTCTCTCTTAGCCTGGCAGCACACAATGGGGAAGGTCCATGAACTCAGTAATATTGTCACTGGAGGGGCAGAGGAGGGATCTCTGTAAACAGGGCTTTGTGTCATTTGGTATAATATTTAACAAGCCCTCCCGAATCAAATATGACAGGAGAGAAAGCCCAGCCCATTCTTAATTCCATGAACACTCTGCTCATTCTGTCTCATGTGAGCACTGCAGCCTTGTCTCCTTATTAGCTCCAAAATATCTGCTGTTTTTAAAGGGGGAGAAATGATCTCACAAGAATGACCATGCTGGTTCAGACCAATCATCCATCTAGCCCAGGATCCTGTGTGATGGCAGGGGTCAGTGCTACATGCTTCAGATGGAATGAACAAAATGGAAAATTACCAGGTGATGGATCCCTATCATCCAATCTCAACTTCTGGCACTCAAAGTTTTATGGACACATAGATCATGGGGTTGTGTCCCTGACCATCTTGGCTACCAAGAACTTACCTAATTCTTCTTTGAACTCAGTTATACTTCTGGCCTTCACAACATCTCCTGGCAACAAGTTCCATAGGTTGACTGTGTGCTGTGTGAAGTACTTTCTTTTGTTTGCTTTACACCTGCTGCCCATTATTTTAATCAGGTAATTCCTGATACATGCATTGTATGAAGAGGTAAAGAACAGTTCCCTATTCACTGTATTCACGATGTTGTAGACCACTAGTATATGTCTCTTAATTATCTCTTGTCTATGCCTTTAAATCTTTTAAAACAGCCCCAGTCATTTAAATCTCTCCTCATAGGAATCTGTTCCATAAACCTAATAATTTTGTTGCCCTTCTCAGTACCTTTTTCAACTCTAATATTCTTTTTAGATATGGGGTGACCACAACCAATTTACATAATGCCATTATCATATTTATCAGAGGGGTGGTCATGTTAGTCTGAATATGCAAAAACAACAGGAAATCCTGTGGCCCCTTATAGACTAACAGGCTACGGCTAGGCTGGCATGATTTTCCGGAAATGCTTTTAACAGAAAAGTTTTCCGTTAAAAGCATTTTCGGAACAGAGCGTCTAGATTGGCATGGACGCTTTTCCACAAAAGCACTTTTTGCGGAAAATCATCCGTGGCCAATCTACACGCGCTTTTCCGCAAAAAAGCCCCAAACGCCATTTTCGCGATTGGGGCTTTTTTGCAGAAAACAAATCTGAGCTGTCTACACTGGCCCTTTTGCGCAAAAGTTTTGCACAAAAGGGACGTTTGCCCGAATGGGAGCAGCATAGTATTTCCGCAAAAAGCACTGATTTCTCACAGTAGGAAGTCAGTGCTTTTGCAGAAATTCAAGCGGCCAGTGTAGACAGCTGGCAAGTTTTTCCGGAAAAGCGGCTGATTTTCTGGAAAAACTGGCCAGTCTAGACACAGCCACAGATTTGTTGGAGCATAGAAATTGGAGAAGGTTCAGAGAAGAGCAACAAGAATGATTAAAGGTCTAGAGAACATGACCTGTGAAGGAAGACTGAAAGAACTGGGCTTGTTTAGTTTGGAAAAGAGAAGATTGAGAGGGGACATGATAGAGGTTTTCAGGTATCTAAAAGGGAGTCACAAGAAGGAGGGAGAAAACTTGTTCATCTTGGCCTCTGAGGATAGAACAAGAAGCAATGGGCTTAAACTGCAGGAAGGGAGGTTTAGGTTGGACATTAGGAAAAAGTTCCTGTCAGGGTGGTTAAACTGCTGCCATTGGGTGTGATTCCTGTCCATTGTGAGTGGTGGGCTACAGTGCTGGGGGGAAGAGGGGGAAAACAATTCCTTGTATAGCAGACCCGAGCAGAGTCACTTCTGTCCCCACCAGGAGCTGCACCAAGTGCCCCAATTGCCCAGACCCTACACTCCCACCTGCCAGCCTGCTCCTGCACCTTACCTCCTGCACAGACCCACCCTGAGCCCCACCCTGCTCCTGGAACCCTACCTTCCAGACTTGCATACCCATCCCCATCCTGCTCCTGCACCCCTCCCATCCAGACTCTGTACCCAAACCTTGCCCCTGGCATCCCCCCCACACACTCTCTCCCACCCAGGCCCTGCATCTGCACCCCACCGCCTGCCAAAACCCCACATTCCCAGCCCACACATGCATCCCTCCCTGACCCTGTATCCTCACCTGCACCTACATCCTGTCTGACCCCCCACATCCATACCCAGCCCACTCCATAGCAGCACCCTTCTCACACTGAACTTCTTATTTTTAGGCCCTACAAAATGTAGTAGCCCCAGACCCACAAGAGTTAATCTGATCCTTGGGGCAAGCCTTGAGCCTCAGGGCCTCCCCCCGTCCCATTTCCATTCTCTGTGGGGCCAGATCTGTGAGGGTTTTTTTTCCCTCTCTCCCATTTGTGTGTGGCCCCTGACTGAAAAAAAGGTTCCCCACCCCTGCCCTACTGCTTGTGTTTATCAACTCTAAAATCTCTAGGAAGTAAGAGTGAAAATTAGCTAACACTAAACAAGTTCCTCTGAGCTATTGGGATGGTCCTATTGGGATTTCATGATCCTGCATACTCCCTGATTGATGCTTTTTGAAGGGACTACATGCATCACTCTCAGTTCTCATGCCTTTGATCTGAGCATTCATCCCAAGCCAGATACTAAAGAGATGGACTCAATATAAAAACCGAGACAAATGGACAACAATCTCTCTGTCCCTTTGCTTCTCCATGTTTCACCTCTAGGCAGCTGTTGTATATTAATGGAACACTTTTTTTTCTCAACACTGCTAAAACAATCAGACTTTCTTCCTTCAGCAAAACTCTTTCCTACTCTTTTTTTCTTCTGACATTGTTAATACTCTCTTAGCTTGGGGCTAACTCTTCTCTTACTCTGCACTGGCTTTGCAAGAACATTCATTCCATTTGATACAACACTGGGAATAAGAGTTTGAAATTCAGATTGTTTGGAAGCAGTCATAGACCTCAGCTGCCTCAAGACAAAACTCCCAGATCACTGTTGGTGTTGGTGATCCTCCTCCTGATGCCCAGTAAAGGCCATTTGCTGTCCTCACTAAACTTACTTGGGAGACCCTGTCTTTACAGAGTAAGCATCAGAATCTGGATTTCAGGAGTGTTTTCTGGTAGTAGCTCAAATGGAATGACAATTTTCTTGTACCTTCTTCATTAACTGGTAGAGGAGAGGATGGAACGACATAAAGCCTTGTTCCAAGTGTTAAGTGAAAACTTTGATTTCCTATGAAAAGGAAAGCAACAAAGGAAACCATCTCAAAAAATTGGAATTGGAAAAGACATTGGCATTGGAAAAGGCTCAGAAAGGGGCAACAGAAATGATTAGGGGTTTGGAGTGGGTCCCATATGAAAAGAGATTAAAAAGACTTGGACTTTTCAGCTTAGAAAAGAGGAGACTACAGGGGAATATGATAGAGATCTATAAAATCATGACAGGTATGGAGAAACTGAATAAAGCAAAGTTATTTACTTGTTCCCATAACATAACTAAGGATCACCTAATGAAATTAATAGGTAGCTGGTTTAAAACAAACAAAAGGACTTTTTCTTCACGCAATGCAGTCAGCCTATGGAACTCATTGCCAGAGGATGCTGTGAAGACCAGGACTTTAACATGATTAAAAAACACCTAGATAAATTCATGGAGGTTAGGTCCATCAATACTTATTAGCCAGAATGGGTAGGAATGGTGTCCCTGCCTTCTGTTTGTCAGGGACTGGAAATGGATGACAGAAGAGAGATCATTTGATGATTCCCTGTTCTGTTCACTACCTTTGGGACATCTGGCATTGGCCGCGGTTGGAAGTTGGATACTCGGCTAGATGGACTTTTGGTCTGACCCAGTATGACCATTTTTATGTTCAGGAGTCAAAGGAAAAGGAATGGCCTTAGTTATTCTTTCAGTAAAGCGTGATCCTTCTATAAGGAATTATCGTTATCCTTCATGCAGATTACTCCTTGTCTATTCCTCATAGGTCCTGCAGATTAGTCTGCTGATCAGGGAGTGAAAGAGTGAAAGCCACCTGGCCAGGCTTTAACTCTGGCAACCTCTTGGTCAGGAGTTGAAGCCTGTCCAGGTGTCTTTCACACTTTCACACCCTGATCAGCAAGGGGGAGTGCTTTGGGGACCAGCTGAGACTGCATTCAGCACAAGGCTTCAGGACTGGCTTCAATAGCAACACAGTGGCAGGTTATCTGACACACTGGGATACACTTGGCAATTAAAGAGAAAAAAATGAGTAACTGATCTTGAATGCCCACAATCCTGGGTAATTCTGATCCAGACATGCTAGCCAAAGAGAATTCACCACTTTGAGTCTCTCAAGGCTAAAACTGTCAAGGTTTTCTGGGACTGTGAGGTGGATTACTGAAAACACTGAGATGACCAAGGAGAACTTCTGGGTACTCTCTACAGGTTCTGAGAGTGAGATAAACATCCTGCAGCTAAGTCAATCACAATCCTTCTGGTGCATAAGATACCCGTGTGTGTGCCTGTGACGGGTACTGTTCCTGAAGCCCTGTTATGTATCCCATTCTCCAAGTGCACAAGAAGAGGCAACTAAGAACAAATACAACAAAAAAGCAGCATTAACTGAAGCTGGAAAGAGGCCAGAACAGATAAATCAGGCTGAAAGCCACAGCTTAGTGCTTGGATGGGGTCAATGACCTGAGACCTACAACCTCAATTACACAGAATGTTGCAATAAAGTTCCTGTGTACTAAGGAGAGCAGCCAAATGCCTCATTGATTTAGAGCTTGAGACAGGTAAGAACTCTTACATTTCAGCTGTGCCAGCTATTCAGACTCAGGAAGACTGACTTAGCTGCAGCAAGATGTTGGAAAGTAGGGGATCAAGTCTTGGGAGCACCAACAAAGTCTGAGGCTCCAAAACTTCAACAGCAGCCAGGACCTTCATGCATGTCAATACACTCAGACATTAGAATTCCATTAAAAGCAAACAGTTAGGTAAAGCAACTGGCTAATCATGCTGAACTGTGAGAAATCTAGCAATCTCCAGCGGGCACACCAGAGCAAAGTGAGTACAACTATAGTTGTGTCTCTAAGGAGTGTCCTGCCGACTGCTGCCAGAAGGAAACTGACAATTCACAGTACAGTACAGGCACCCCAGTAGGAAAACATAAGAGCAGGCCCCTAATTGTGCCAATACCTCAGATGTTTGGAAGACACTTCCAAATCAGTGTGCATGTGAGCAGACCTGAGTGAAGAAATCAATTAAAAGGGGAAAGAAATACATGACATCCAAGACCTACCTGGCTCTTTCACCCTCCAGGGCTCTGAGCGTGGCCTGGAGCTCTGTGATCTGACACTCTGCCTCCTCCCGACGGCTCCTCTCTCCCTCCAGGGGTCGGAGCGTGGCCTGGAGCGCTACGATCTGACGCTCTGCCTCTTCCTGACGGCTCTTCTCTCCCTCCAGGGGTCGGAGCGTGGCCTGGAGCGCTACGATCTGACGCTCTGCCTCTTCCTGACGGCTCTTCTCTCCCTCCAGGGGTCGGAGCGTGGCCTGGAGCGCTACGATCTGACGCTCTGCCTCTTCCTGACGGCTCTTCTCTCCCTCCAGGGGTCGGAGCGTGGCCTGGAGCGCTACGATCTGACGCTCTGCCTCTTCCTGACGGCTCTTCTCTCCCTCCAGGGGTCGGAGCGTGGCCTGGAGCGCTACGATCTGACGCTCTGCCTCTTCCTGACGGCTCTTCTCTCCCTCCAGGGGTCGGAGCGTGGCCTGGAGCGCTACGATCTGACGCTCTGCCTCTTCCTGACGGCTCTTCTCTCCCTCCAGGGGTCGGAGCGTGGCCTGGAGCGCTACGATCTGACGCTCTGCCTCTTCCTGACGGCTCTTCTCTCCCTCCAGGGGTCGGAGCGTGGCCTGGAGCGCTACGATCTGACGCTCTGCCTCTTCCTGACGGCTCTTCTCTCCCTCCAGGGGTCGGAGCGTGGCCTGGAGCGCTACGATCTGACGCTCTGCCTCTTCCTGACGGCTCTTCTCTCCCTCCAGGGTTCGGAGCGTCGCCTGGAGCTCTGCGATCTGATGCTCTGCTTCCTCCCGACAGCTCTTCTCTCCCTCCAGAGTTCTGAGCGTGGCCTGGAGCGCTACGATCTGACGCTCTGCCTCTTCCTGACGGCTCTTCTCTCCCTCCAGAGTTCTGAGTGTGGCCTGGAGCGCTGCATTCTGACGCTCTGCCTCCTCCCGACGGCTCTTCTCTCCCTCCAGGGTTCGGAGTGTGGCCTGGAGCTCTGCGATCTGACGCTCTGCCTCCTCCTGACGGCTCCTCTCTCCCTCCAGGGTTCGGAGTGTGGCCTGGAGCTCTGCGATCTGACGCTCTGCCTCCTCCTGACGGCTCCTCTCTCCCTCCAGGGTTCGGAGTGTGGCCTGGAGCTCTGCGATCTGACGCTCTGCCTCCTCCCGACAGCTCTTCTCTCCTTCCAGGGTTCTGAGCGTGGCCTGGAGCTCTGCATTCTGACACTCCGCCTCCTCCCGACGGCTCCTCTCCCCCTCCAGAGTTCTGAGCGTGGCTTGGGGCTCTGCGATCTGACGCTCTGCCTCCTCCTGACGGCTCCTCTCCCCCTCCAGAGTTCTGAGCGTGGCTTGGGGCTCTGCGATCTGACGCTCTGCCTCCTCCTGACGGCTCCTCTCCCCCTCCAGAGTTCTGAGCGTGGCTTGGGGCTCTGCGATCTGACGCTCTGCCTCCTCCTGACGGCTCCTCTCCCCCTCCAGAGTTCTGAGCGTGGCTTGGGGCTCTGCGATCTGACGCTCTGCCTCCTCCTGACGGCTCCTCTCCCCCTCCAGAGTTCTGAGCGTGGCCTGGAGCTCTGCATTCTGACGCTCCACCTCTTCCCAACGGCTCCTCTCCCCCTCCAGAGTTCTGAGCGTGGCCTGGAGCATTGCGATCTGACGCTCTGCCTCCTCCCGACAGCTCTTCTCCCCCTCCAGAGTTCTGAGCATGGCCTGGAGCTCTGCAATCTGACACTCAGCCTCCTCTCGAACGCTCCTCTCCCCTTCCAGAGTTCTGAGCGTGGCCTGGAGCTCTGTGTTCTCACGTTCCATCTCCTCCAGATGGCTCCTCTCCCCCTCCAGAGTTCTGAGCGTGGCCTGCAGCTCTGCGATCTGACATTCTGCCTCCTCCCGATGGCTCCTCTCCTGCTCCAGGCTTCTGAGCTTGGCCTGGAGCTCTGCGTTCTGACGCTCCACCTCCTCCCGCTGGCTCGTCTCGCCCTCCAGAGCCCCAAGCATGACTTGTAGCTCTGCGTTCTGACGCTCTGCCTCCTCTCGAAGGCTCTTCTCCCCCTTTAGGGATCCAAGCTTGGCCTGGAGCTCTGCGTTCTGATGCTCCACCTCCTCCCGACGGCTCCTCTCCCTATCTAGCACCTTCTGGATGTGAGCAGCCTCCAGTACCTTCTGGTTGGATAATTCTTGCACCTCATTCAGTTTCCGCTGAGTCTCCAGGCCAATCTGTTGCCAGGAATCTTTGGTGATCACTAGGTCTTGTATCTGAAATAGGACAAAATAGTTGAGAAGCCAGAGGTTAAAACACGCCACAGCGTTCCTGTATTCTATGGGGAAAGCAAACAAGCAAGTTAAAGTATCGCCTAATCTTCAGAGTGCCAGGTTCAGATTAGATGTTGCTTATATATTTGGAAATCTAAGTAGAAGAGTTTGGTCCCTGAATCCACCACACCCTTAGATGTAAAATCACCAGCAGCATGACAGATGGAGATATGCCACCATGCAGCTGGGATCAGGTGAGAACAGCAAGGTGATAGGCAGAGAGCCTGTGCTTGACAGCCAAGATTAGGGTACTATCAGGGTGAGAAGCACAGTGGCAGGGAGAGGGATTGTTTCCAGTGCACTATGAGCAACAGAAAAAGTGCAGAGCAATCCTGCCCAACCAGGATCTGGGATGAGTAGGAAGGTGAGGGTCAAACTGAGGGTGAGTGACAGGCATGGGGCCTTCCACCCTTCTGGGTGAAATCTCCATTTTCTTTTGCTGGGGGCAGTCACCTGGTTTCGCAAGGTGTCTTGCTGCTGAAGTAGAATGTCTATTTCCTGTTTCAGGGCTTTGACCTCCTCTAGATGCTTGCTCTCCACTGCCTCCATTTTATTCCGAGATTCCTGGAGCTCATTTTGCAGTACCTCCACAGTGACCTGTAGCCAGGCCAAAAAGTGAATCTCTGAAAGCTGTGAAATATTAAACCCTGTGTCCCAGAGTCCCTCTCTTCAACCACATCTTCCTGCCTTTGTTCTACCTGCACAAAACCCACACAGCTGCCATCTTTGCCTCTAAGTTCCCTTTCCTTCTACTGAGCTCTCTGGCTTACAAGGCCTCTGACAAGGTGCAGACCTTTCTGCCCCATTCCTCCTCTCCCAGCTCTGCACTGCCCTTGGTCCCTGCCTCCATCCACTTTCTCCTCCATCTGTTCTGTCCTTTGTGTTGCTTTCTAACAGCCTGTTCCTTCCTCTCCGCTGCTCCCTATTGCTCAAACCTACCTGCTCCTTCTGTTGCTTCTTCACCTCCTGGCGGAGATGCTCCAGCTGCTGACAGGCATCTGTCAGCTCTCCCTGTGTTTGGAGCAGTGCCTCCAGCAAGGATTTCTTTTCTCTCTCTTTTTCTAGTAACATCTGTACAGAGAGGAAAGGGGAAAGCATTCACAGATGTAACGTGTTTGCTGAGTCTTAGAGACTAGTACTCCCATATAAACTGGCTACTTGTCTCCACAGTCTCCACTTTACCAAAGACCTAAGTTTTATGGTGAGATTACCAGTGAGAGAAATCCAGCGTTGATGGGCATTGCCTCTTACATAGTGCCAAACCACATGGCACCTCCCAATTGCCATAGGTCAACACAAACATCTCGCTTACTCTGCTGGACCATCTTTAGTGAGGCATCCACAGGTGCAGCTATGCTGCTTAGTTCTTCCCACACAGCCAGGAACAGAGCAAATCAGAGCTCTTGCACACTGAGTTGCAGTAGAAGAATGCCATGGCCCAAAGAAGACAGGAATCTTTGGCTCCCTTGAGAAGAGGTGGTGGTTAAATGAAAGTATCCAGTAGAGCTTTGGAAAAATCTCTAAAGTGTCATGAGCATATTTCTATCCCTGAGATCTGGTACAGTCACTCTGGGCATATCTAGACTATGCGGAATAGTCGAAAGAGGATATGCAAATTCAGCAGAAATTTGCATATCTTTTTCATATCGCACTTTCGAAAGCTCTGCTTCTGGATCACTTGGTATGCTAGGTGCATACTTGTTTAATATAGCCAGATGTAAAGTTACACAGTACACCCTAAGACAGGGGTGGACAAGAGGCGGCTAGCAGGCCGAATCCGGCCTGCCAAGCCACTGGATCTGGCCTGCTGCTGCCTCGCCGGCACCCTTGCTAGAGATCAGCTGCAGCTGATTTAAACAGCAGGCTGCTAATTGCTATATAGTCTGCTATATAGTCTATATAGTCTGGTATATAGTCTGCTTTGCGCGCTGTCCCCGTCACCAAGCAAAATCCCCTAGCTCCCATTGGCCAGGAACTAGCCAATAGGAGCTGAAAAATATTTCTGAAGTCAGGGGCAGTGAATGAAGCCTCCTCACTCTCCCTTCCCTGAGCTGGAGCATAGCCACATGGAGCAGCTGCCCAGCACACTGGCAGGGAGTCTGCAGAGCTGCCAGGTAGGAGCCACCTAGGTAAGTGCCTCCCAGCAGGAGCCTGCCTCTGGCATCCCAGCTCCTCTCTTCCCCTACCTACCCACCCTAGGCCTCCATCCAAACCCTCTGTATCCCCTCTCTTCAATTTCTCCACGTTACAACTCCCTCCCAAACCCTGCAACTCCTCCTACATCCCTACCCCAGGCCAGAATCCTCTTCTGCACCCATAACCCCTTCCTGACCCCCATTCCCTTGCCCCACATCACCCCCAAACCCTCTGCACCCCCTTTCCACCCTTTTCCCAGGTCACAACTCCCTCCCAGACACTGCACCCCCCTCCTATATTGTTCCCCCAGGCTAGAATCCTCTCCTGTACCCATAAACCCTCCTGTACCCTGCACCTGAAGCCCCTGCCCCAGATCATAACCCCCTCCTTCATCCAAACTCCGTCTCAGACCCCACATTTGCCTCCTGCACCCCAGTCCTCTATCCCAAGCTCCCTTCTACATCCCACCTGCTATCCCAGACCCTGCGTCCCCTCTACCACGCCAGACATGCATCTGATGAAGTGGGTCTTTGCCCACGAAAAAGGGAGTTACTCGCCTCGTGCGGTAACGAGTGTTCTTCGAGATGTGTCCCCATGGGTGCTCCACTGTAGGTGAAGGGTTGCCCTGAGCCGCAGATCAGAGCTTTGTATAGCAGTTTCCCCTGTTGAGCCACGCATGCCCAGGAGGCGTCTCGAGCCCTTCCCACCTCCTGAGGAGTGCGACTCAACCCCCTCCCTTTCAGTTCCTCGTCTCCGCCCGAGAATTTTGACTCCGAGCAGAGGGGAGGTAGGGAGGGTCGTGGAGCACCCACGGGGACACACATCTTGAAGAACACTCGTTACTGCAAGAGGTGAGTAACTCCCTTTTCTTCTTCGAGTAGTGTCCCCGTGGGTGCTCCACTGTAGGTGACTACAAAGCAGTATTCAGTGTAAGGCTGGAGGGAGCCGGAGTCATTGTTTAGCAGTGGTAGAGAGTACTGCTGTGGCAACTACTGAATCACTCTTGAGTTGTGGAAGGATAGCGTAGTGTTTAGCAAAAGTATGGTCTGAAGACCATGTCGCTGCCCGGTAAATGTCTCTTAAGGGGACATTGCCCAGAAAGGCTGTAGAAGCAGCCGTGGCTCGAGTAGAATGCGCTCGTGGTGGGCGTTGTAGCGGTCTATTGCCCAGAGAGTGGCATTTGATTATACATGTCAATATCCACTTTGAGATTCGTTGCAATGATATTGGTGTCCCTTTGGATCGTTCAGCAATGGAGATAAAAAGTCTTTCAGATTTACGAAATGGTTTTGTTCTTTCTAGGAAGAAGGCCAGAGCCCTCCGGATGTCTAGAGTGTGTAGGCTGGCGTCTGTCTGCGAAGGATGCGGTTTTGGGAAAAAGGTAGGTAATACGATCGGTTCGTTGAGATGGAATTCTGTACAGACCTTTGGCAAAAACGTGGGGTGGGGTCTCAGTATGACCCTATCCTTTGTGAAAACTGTGTAAGGAGGTTCTGACATTAATGCTCTGAGTTCGCTCACCCTCCTGACGGAGGTAATGGCTAAGAGGAAGCAGACTTTCATAAAAAGGAAGGGAAGTGGTACTGTTGCAAGTGGCTCAAAGGGAGGTCTGGTGAGGCAGTTCAAAACAAGATTTAGGTCCCACAAAGGGGGTGGGGCCTTATGTGGTGGGTACACATTCTGGAGTCCCTTGAGGAATCTCTTTGTAATAGGATGGTTAAAAATGGAGAAGCCGTCTACTGAGGTATGAAATGCTGCTATTGCAGAGAGGTGTACTCTTAGAGAGGAGATTGACAGTCCTGATGCTTTAAGGTACAGAATGTAGTCTAGGATGGTATTTAGTGGTGAGGCAC